TGTACTGTCTTTATGACCAGCTGCTTTTTGTTTTACAAAGAGCAAAAATAGTTACTCCTTTTATCGCTGAAAAAAAAAAAAGCATTTTGAATCTTTGTTTTCTTAATTGACTTTCTTTTTAAAAATTTCTTATGTTTATTTTTGAGACAGAAACAGAGCATGAGTGGGGGAGGGGCAGAGAGAGAGCGGGAGAGACAGAATCCAAAGCAGGTTCCGGGCTCCAAGCTGTCAGCCCAGAGCCTGGAGCCTCTTTCAGATTCTGTGTCTCCCTCTCTCTGACCCTCCCCGTTCATGCTCTGTCTCTCTCTGTCTCAAAAATAAATAAACGTTAAAAAAAATTAAAAAATAAAATAAAATAAAATAGAATAAAATAAAATAAAATAAAATTTGGAAAATAAAATAGGATGGTCCTCTGGCCCTGCTTCTTCCTCTGCCCGCTCTGGTCTCCCTGATGAATCAACTCCCTGATGAATCAACTCTCAGTGAGTTGCCGTCTAAAAGGCAGAACTGTGGGGACTCAGTGGAAGCGTGAGGGTGATGCGAAGAGAAGCCCGGACCCCCCTACCCCTACCACTACACACACCCTCTCCAGAGCTGAAATCCGGGCAGGCACACGCAGGGACACCGGGATCCCTGAGATCGAGACCTGAGCTGAGGTCAAGAGTTGGACGCTTACAGGACGGAGCCCCCCCTCCCGGGGCGACCCCGGGCACTGGGCTTCTTGAGTGTCGTGGGGCCTAGGAGTCCGGGTCTCATTTTCTCCTCTTCTCATTTGGCCACAGGCATCTCTGGGAAGAGCCAGATCCTTTTTGCTCTCGTCTTCACCACCAGGTACCTGGACCTGTTCACCAACTTCATCTCCGTCTACAACACAGTGATGAAGGTGAGGGCGGTGGGGGGGCGGCGGCCGTGGTGGCGGGGTCCCCTGAGCCCCGCAGACCGAGACCGTGCGCTCGGGAACACGGGCTGTGGAGCCGGGCAGACCTGGATGGGAATCCTGACTGTGTTGACAGCCGCTGGGGGGCCCTGGGCTTGGGCGAGGCCCTGGGCACTTCATCTTCAGACTGAAGACAGTGCCAGTACTCGCCTCGGCGGGTTCTGTTGTGAACACGAAATGAGGTAATAAATGCAAATACACCACAGCTGTCGTATATCAAATATTCGATAAAGGGTCGCTTTATTATGCCGGTTCCAAAAAATGAGCCAAAAATCAAACCTGGTACCCTGAGCCTGCAGAGAGGTTATTCATCCGACATGCATTTGACAAATACCCATATTTCTTGAGCACCCATATTCCTGTGAGCCACGTACTTGAAGACCCGTGAGGCTCCGGCCAGCAAAACTTTGGTTAGGGGTGAGGTTATGCAGATATTATTAAAATAGGGTGACGTTGGCTTTCATTCTGTTTTTTAACGTTTATTTATTTTGAGAGACAGAGTGCAAGCGGGGGAGGGGGCACAGAGAGCAGGAGACACAGAACCCGAAGCAGGCGCCAGGCTCCGAGCCGTCAGCACAGAGCCCGACGCGGGGCTGGAACCCACGGACCGCGAGATCGTGACC